TGGATAATAATATTAAGTTTTTAATTAAAAAATTTCTCTCAAAAACCTCCAACATTACTGTTAGCAATTGGTTTTAAAAACATAGAAAGTACAAAGTCAAGGTATGATCCGGTTGTCTGTTCGTTTTAGACAAACCGGTAACCTCAGCTCATCTTGATCACTCTTCGATTACACAGTAACTATGCTCAGGGGCGGTTGACTTATTAATTACCACTTGCCATTGTTTATTCAAGTTTTACTTTTCGATTAATTTTTATTTAGTTATCCCATTCATCTAGAGAAAAGTATTCCGATGACGTATCGGAGCTAGAACTGCTCGACATCATACTTGCCCGACGAAACATTGGAATACCTAATGGGTTCATTCTTTCAAAATCATTTTCGTTTATTTTTGGATTTTCTATTACTGAAACTACTGGCTTCACCGGCTATAAAATATTATACTAAGATTGTATATATTTTTAAATATTTTATTTTGACTACTCGAGTCAAGCAACAGATTGTGAAATCACCACTAAGCAGTTAAATAAATACCAGATCACTTATGTGAAGGATTAGATAATTTAAAAAAAAANTTATTACTGAAACTACTGGCTTCACTGGCTATAAAATATTATACTAAGATTGTATATATTTTTAAATATTTTATTTTGACTACTCGAGTCAAGCAACAGATTGTGAAATCACCACTAAGCAGTTAAATAAATACCAGATCACTTATGTGAAGGATTAGATAATTTAAAAAAAAAGATACTCGGATAATAAATGGATATTAGAGACAAAAAATTAATCTAACGAACACATACAATAATAAAATAAAATGCATAATTAATTTGAAAATATATGTATATTAATTCTTCATATTATTATGAATTGTTTAGAATGCGATTCATTAATATTCATTTTATATTCCCTTCATAAGTATGACAAAAAGTTAAAAAACGTAAAAATATTCATTATTATAAATTTTATCTGTTGTATTTGATTTGTTATTAAAAATCTTTATTTTTATGAAGCATTCAAAATGCGATTCATTAATATATGACCCACTTCATAAGTATGATATAAAAAAAATTGATTTATAATCATTAAAATACTATATCGATTTTAGACATTTATTTTGCTTACATTAAGCTATAATATAAAACTTGAACGATACTCTATTATTAATTGTTAAAGAGGTTTACCTTCAATTTCACGCCGCGTTTGATTTCCTCTATAAGATTTTTTGGTAGACCTGCTGGTCTATAAACCTTACCTTTGTTTTTTACATTGTTTTCTGATTTTAGTGGCATTAGTAGTGTATGAGGAGATGGTGAAGGAATGATATCTGGAAAATATTCATATTTAGATAACATAAACAGTGACTTTTTATGTATATATACAAGTACTATCAAAAAGGTTCATTCTTCGAAGATTTTTGTCATCTATAATTGATTTTTCTAATACTTTAACCATTGGACTTACCGGCTATATAAAATTAAAAAATCAAACACATATACTAACTGTTATAATTAATATACTCATTTTAACATTTAATATATTGTGGTAATTGTTTTGCTTACATAAAGCTATAATATATAATTTGCACTATACTCAATTATTAATTATTAAAAATTTTACCTTCAATTTCACGCCGCGTTTGATTTCCTCTATAAGATTTTTTGGTAGAGCTGTTGGTCTATAAACCTTACCTTTGCTTTTTACATTGTTTTCTGATTTTAGTGGCATTTGTAGAGTATGAGGAGGTGGTGAAGGAATGATATCTGGAAAATATTCATATTTAGATAACATAAACAGTGACTTTTTATGTATATATACAAGTACTATCAAAAAGGTTCATTCTTCGAAGATTTTTGTCATCTATAATTGATTTTTCTAATACTTTAACCATTGGACTTACCGGCTATATAAAATTAAAAAATCAAACACATATACTAACTGTTATAATTAATATACTCATTTTAACATTTAATATATTGTGGTAATTGTTTTGCTTACATAAAGCTATAATATATAATTTGCACTATACTCAATTATTAATTATTAAAAATTTTACCTTCAATTTCACGCCGCGTTTGATTTCCACTATAAGATTTTTTGGTAGAGCTGTTGGTCTATAAACCTTACCTTTGCTTTTTACATTGTTTTCTGATTTTAGTGGCATTAGTAGAGTATGAGGAGGTGGTGAAGGAATGATATCTGGAAAATATTCATATTTAGATAACATAAACAGTGACTTTTTATGTATATATACAAGTACTATCAAAAAGGTTCATTCTTCGAAGATTTTTGTCATCTATAATTGATTTTTCTAATACTTTAACCATTGGACTTACCGGCTATATAAAATTAAAAAATCAAACACATATACTAACTGTTATAATTAATATACTCATTTTAACATTTAATATATTGTGGTAATTGTTTTGCTTACATAAAGCTATAATATATAATTTGCACTATACTCAATTATTAATTATTAAAAATTTTACCTTCAATTTCACGCCGCGTTTGATTTCCACTATAAGATTTTTTGGTAGAGCTGTTGGTCTATAAACCTTACCTTTGCTTTTTACATTGTTTTCTGATTTTAGTGGCATTAGTAGAGTATGAGGAGGTGGTGAAGGAATGATATCTGGAAAATATTCATATTTAGATAACATAAACAGTGACTTTTTATGTNAGCAAGGGTAAAAACCGCTTTTGGTGAATACTTACGAGCAGTTCGAAATTTAAGTCCATTGCCAATTTAAGTCGATTGATTTATTGAAAATTTATTGTTTGTCAATTTAAATATATTTGTAATCCATTTGCTATTTTAGAATGTTAGTTGCAATTTTTTTTTTGTGTTTTATATATATATATATAATTTTTTTGATTTGTTAGATAAATTTTATATTGATTTTGGTTAATCAAAGTGGGCGGCTTGTTTGATATTGGGGAAAAAACGCTAGATATATTTGTTATAGAATAGGTGGGGGGCGGTGCAGCGTAGGTTTTTTGTTTGTAAGTTAGTCGAAAACCGGACAGCGAATGATGAGTCCGGCTCACTTACGCGCACCTATAGTTTTTCGTATATAAAATGTAAAAGATATAAAATAAAAAAACATTCCATATTATAGAGTAAAAATAAAGTGTTTTTATGCAAAAGTTAAAATATCGTAAGCTACCGATCAAGTAGTTTTAGGTACACTTAAATTTTACCACTTTAAAATATTACATTTACATAATCAATATGTATATTTACCCTTAAAGAAAATCTAGACACAGGTGTACATATTAATCGTACCTAACATGTAAACGTTTATACAGATTATTATAAACTGAATATTATTAATCTATTAAATAGGATAATTTTTCTATCAGAAATTATTTACACAATAAAAATAATTTGAATATTTTTATTTTTTTTTATACTTAGTCACGTATTATTCTTGAACTATTAACTATTTAATAAAATTGAAGTGTATCTTTTATGCATTGTAAGGATCTTAACTTTGTTTTTTCAAACGCGAACATATTATTTGAATGTAATAAAATGTTTCAAAATGTGTTTTAATAGTGAATGAATTTGAAATTTAAATGTAATAAAGAAAATGTTTGGCCCGCCAAATAATATGATAATTAACTGAAAAATAAGTAATTATAATTTTTCATAACTACAAACCATCTCTCCTTTCATCGGTGTTACTGTTGGATTGTACTACCGGGTATGTTTTTTTCAATAAAGCTGAGTCTTTACTCGCACCAATATTGCTATCAGGCATATTGAAATTGGCTACAACATTTTTTTCAGTTTGTCTGGCACATAACTTCCTAACAAATTTTATAACTCTTCTAAAGACGCCTTTTTTGGATATCATATTATATTTTATAGAAATAAAAACACTATTATTTTCTCTTTAAATTGTACTAAACCAAAATAATTAAATAATGAATTATTAGAGTGAAATTTACATAGAAAATAAACTATTATTGTATCATAGTAATTTAAAATAATAATATCATTTTGTATTAGTCGATTATAAGCCAACTTTTTGTCAGCTCTCATTGGACCGATTTCTTTCAACGATATGTCAAAAGATCACAAATCGTATCTAGTCAAAGACATTACCCTCAAAAATTGAAAAAATTGCCCTCGTTTCCCGTAAATGAGGGAAATCTCTAAAAAAATTACAAATTTTAAAATCGCCAATTTTTTTTAAATTTTTTTGTTTAAAACTACCATAATTTATTTAAAAATAATAAAATCAATATAATTTTTTTTTTATAGATGCATAATGTCTTAACCTATCTTTTGGTATTTTCTATATATATATCTTTTTTGTAAATGTGACACTTAATCTGCCCACAGGGGAGGATTTAAAATGACAACTTTTTCACAAAAAATTAACTTTTTCAACTAGACTTTTGAAAATGTTCCGGAAAGTCTGACACTTATATATATATATATATATAAATTAAAGCAAATATAATATACTCTTATAAAAAAAAATTTTGGACTTTATTTTGTCTTCACGGTGAAAATGGCTACCAAATGTTTTTTTTGTATGAAAATTCTGGATGTCATATTTTATAATTTTAACTATATAATGCTGTAACTTTTTGAAAAATGTATGGATCAATACTGTTTTTTTATGAGAAATAATATTTATATCCCTCTTTCATTCGATATAATTTATCTTAATCAGGATATAAATAAGGATATAGCAGATCATGAAGCTTTATCAATAATCCAACAATTTTTTAAAATTAAACATTATCTAAAGATTTGCATCCAAGCGTTTTTTATGATAGTGATTTTAATCACTGTCAGATATCATTATACTTGACCCAACTATGCCACGTCACCACTGTGCCACGACCCCCCTGTGCTGGGTTTTTTTTAGCTAATTTATTTCTTTTTTTTGTGTTTAAAATTTATACTCTACATGTATTTCAGGAAAACGTAAAGGCATATTATCTCCACTAATTAAATACTAAATACAAGCTAAACGTAAATTTAAACTAAAAAANAAATAAAAACTAAACGTAAATTTAAAACTAAAAAGAAATTTACATTCATACATATAAAAATTCCCAAAATTGATGAAATATTCTATATTTTATAAATATCTAAATATAATATTAAATTTGATCTATAGTTGACTATTTATTATAAAACACTTTCCTACAATAGGTAGATGGGTATTTCAGATTATGCTATACAAGGGTAATCTTTAAACTTCAATAAATTATGAATTTATTCTCCTCTTAAATATTTAAAATTAGATTAGTTATTAAAAATTATAAAAATATTAATGCGCTCATATTCTAAGCGTGTTGTAGTAATTGTACTGTAACTTTTAATAATAAATCGAAATACCTATCATATAAAATGGATTCACATTTTGGTCAAAACAATGTTGTCATAAATCTGTAATGACAACACATTACGCGTTAAAAACCACGACTTTAATTTAATCAAACTAAACAGTGTTAGTACAATAAGTACAATTAACACACAAAAAAAACTAAAAAAAACCGAAATGTTAATGTTATTTTTTCATCATGGGTCATATTTTTGTAATATATTAACTTTTTTCTGTGTATATTTTATAGTTTATGTATACTAAAGGGTTTTACGTACGGAGCAAGATGATTTTTAAAAAAAATTGTATAATTTTTTCATCCTATTACTGATATAAATTTAAATAAATACGTAATTAAAAGTTTCACAGATTTCAAAACCCTAGACGTACTTATATAAAGTATAAGTTTTTGTAATATTGTTAAATTTCTTTTTGATTTATTTTAGTTACATATCAGCTAATAATAATGCCTTTTTAGAATCGTTTCTTATAACTTAATCATACTGCTTTTCAGTGAGTTTTTATTGCAATATAAAAAAAAAATTGTTCTTGCAATTCAAATATAGGCTGATTTTTTTATCATAACCCACTCAATTACTTACAGAATAAATATATTTAAACATTTTTTTTTTCATTATCTTTAGTTACACATTATTCTTGAATTTTTAACTATGTAATACTTTTTAAGTTCATACCTTATGCTTTGTAAGGGGGTCAATTTTGTTTTTTTAAATGGTAACACATATTTTTAATTTAATAAAATGTTTGAGTTTTTAAATAGTAAATGGCATTTGAATTTTTAATATAACTTTATTTGTTTATGAGCTTATTGGTTGGTTTATCAATATTCGCAGGTACACAGCATTGTTATTAACAATGGTAGTAACTTACTACCATTGATAATAACAATTATTACTACTAGTAAGGCACATTATTGTGAGTTCATGAATACACTAACTGACTATATAAAAAGTATATCTAATGATAGTAATAATTAATAATAAACAATCCGTGACTGTGACAACGATGCCTTGTAAGGGTGTCAACTTTGTATTTTTAAATGGTAACACATATTTTTAATTTAATAAAATGTTCAAGTTTTTAATTTAATAATAAATTGCATTTAAATTTTTAATAAAACTTAATTTGTTTATTAGATATAAACATTTAAAGTTTCAAATTTTTGAGTTAATATATAGGTATAATACACAAGGGATTACAAATACAGGTAGCTAATTGGTTTTTTATGATATTGCTATCAGAGTCACGGATTGTTTATTATCAATTATGACTATCAATAGATATACTTTTTGTATTGTCAGTTAGTGTATTTATAAACTCACAACAATATGCCTTACTATTATTGATAATAACAATGCTGTGTACCTGCTAATATCGATGTATAATACCTTGTGTATTATACATGTATATTAACTCAAAAATTTGAAACTTTAAGTGTTTATATCTAATAAACAAATAAAGTTATACTAAAAATTCAAATGCCATTTACTATTTAAAAACTCAAACATTTTATTAAATTAAAAATATGTGTTACCATTTAAAAAAACAAAGTTGACCCCCTTACAAAGCATAAGGTATGAACTTAAAAATGATTACATAGTTAATAATTCATGAATAATTTGTAACTATAGATAACTAAAAAAAAAAAATGTTTAAATATTGTTGTGGTTGATATTTTACCGCACTCGCGTGGGGTTATAATACTAGGGAAAAGAAACACAACACCTTTTGGTTCAAAATAAACGTTGTATGATTTATTTGGTGTTTTGAACAAAACTTTATATTGCTTTATATAACTTTATATCAGAAACAAAACACAGTAAGCAATATTGACAGAAAATATATACATGTATGTATGCGAAAGGCACAATGTCGTAACGGCGTGTTCGGCGCTGCGTAGCTGACGGCGAGCGATACGATCCAAACGGTGTCACGGAGATGACT